GTGGCAGGGTCTGACGGTAATGACTCCTGAAGTCATCATTATGAACTGCAATGGACTTGTTCCCAGGCTCTCACAATCACACTTTATAATAGTTTTTACAGAAACCAGAAAAATTCCTACCTTACACCACAACAAAGCCAAAACCATTTGTAATCTTATGGAGCACAAGTGATGCTCGGTTGGGATCAAAGAGGGGCGTTTTTTTTGTGTAAATTGGATATTTACATTTCTTTCCCCCTCATTTTGTGTGTTCCACCTTCTGAAGCACATCACTGGCTCTTTGTGAGACGTAGTGCCGTGTGATCTTTAACATCTACCTGAACAGACAGACTTGGTTTAACGTCTCATCTAATGGACAAATGTAAGTTTTGCAATGTAAGTTTTTCTTAAACAACTTGATAACTTTCTGCTTCGAGTCACACGATAAAGGAAAGGCACACGAAAATAGGCTTCAGCAGAACCCCCCAGCCTGTCCAGAACAACACATCACTGAGGTTTCAAGGTTCTGCCATTCCTCATGTTCATTTCATGTTGGTTCTAATATAAAATGACACTCCACCTGCTTTTTTTTCACATTGTAAAGAGTTTCAGCATGATCAAAATTATTCAAAAATAGCTGTGAGTCATTGTGTGACTCCCTGATACAAACACACCTTGAGCTGCACCCTGATTCCACCCATTTTTCCTCTAAGTGGAGAGAACACACCCCACTTGCCCTTGCAAGTGTCAGGCTGGCCCAGTCGCTGTGTGTGTGTATGTGTGTGTGTGTGTGTGTGTGTGTGTGTCAGGCTGGCCCAGTCGGTAGCACTCTTGCCCGAGTCAGAAGGTTGTGCGTTTCGGTCATCTCTTCCTTATTATTATTCTATACTGTGAGGTACATAACCTGCTGCTGTTGTGTGGATCCCACCTGACTCAGGTCCATCTCGTCTCCTGTAGTTCTTGAGACAATGTGACCTCTGCAAACCCCATGTCCCTCGCTCTTCCTCTCCGCCATCAAGCCCCCCCCCCTCCCCTGCCCTCCAATACTCATACATTAAATGAGCTGAATGGCTTCCTTTGGTGCTGTAAATGTCTTTGATTCTGTGATACTCAGCGACTAAACAGAGCAAGAGGCTGGCACTATTCGCTCGGACAATAAAAAAATTAACATTGATAAAGTTCAAAGCCTGGGCATAAAGTTTGTTATCGTAAACACACACATTGTTGCATGTAAACCTGCACAAATACAATACGAGAGAAATGATTGGGGAAAGTTTTGACTCATGACGATTCCCAAACTGGTTTGTTTCATTCCCAGAAAACAGCTGCTTACTGGGATTGGGATTTTAAGGCTACAAAGATAAGGATGAACACGGATGATCAAATCTTTGTGGAACAAGATGATAAAGGGATTAGCAATGAGCCTCTCAGCCTTTGAGAGCTCGTGTCTCAGTGGGTGTGCTAGACAGTGAAAGGGAGAGAGAGCGAGAGAGGAAACATGGAACTATTCAAGATGAGGCAAGACAGGGTCACTTGTTCAGGCCAAGGGTAACTTTAAGACAGAGACTAGAAAGTATTTCTTCACGCGGAGGAGAATCAACAGCTGGAATTAGGATCACCAGGACGGGTGGTGACTGTCAGGACACAAACAGGGGGGGGGAAGGGGTTTGAGAAGCAGCTTCAGTCTCCCCCAAATTAACAAAAAAAATTTTCTTAAGTGAAAGAGTTTTGAAAAGTCACTCTTCCCATAGGCTTTATTTGTGACCAAAATAATAATCCAAAACTCAGCACTGAGGGCACATCACCAAGAAAGGCACAGCCTAGTTTGTCAGCCAGTCTCAGTGTCAGCCTGAGTCAGAAGGTTGTAGGTTCAAGCCCCCACATCAGAACTTGAACTCACATCATCGAAGCTGACACTTCAATGCAGTATTGGGGTGTGGGGGGGGAAAGCGCTGCATTGTTGGAGGTGCCGTCTTTCAGATGAGACGTTATACCGAGGCCCTGTCTGCCTGTTCAGGTGGTCACTAAAGGAACCCATTGCACAGTTTGAAAAGAGAAGGGAATTTCTCTCTCCCGGTGTCCTGGCCAACAATCCCCCAAATAAAAAAAAAATTGGTCGCTCACACCATGCTGTTTGTGTGACATTGCTATGCACAAATTGGGATGCTGAATTCACCCACAAACACAGTCACCACATTTCACAGTAAATCCTGTGAAGCGCTTTGGGGTGGCCTCCCAACATGAAAGGCGCTATACAAATATAATTTTGTTATTGTTGTTATAGTTTCCATTGTAGTTTAGCAGGTTCGACCCATAGACTATCAGCGCTGCACAGAGCCGGGCAAATGTTCAATCATGGGGTACACACAGTGTTTCCTCTCCGCACACAATACACAATGCACTCACTTGGAGAAAACCTGCTGGGTTCCTCTGTACCCTCAACACTGCTCCTTTTCCTGGCACTTGTACAAGTAATCGGATCACTTGGAGTGGAGAAGCCTTTTGGCCCATCTGATCTCATCCATGCAGGGACCCACCCTATGTTCTTTCCATAATAACAAGGTGTTGTTTAAATGGCTGCCAATGTCCCAGCCTCAACCGCCTTCTTGGCCACCTGTTCCCTGTTGTTAATTATCACCAGGTGGAGACAATCTTGCTGACGTCTGTCCTGCAACACCCCATTGTATCTCTAACTGTCAACCACAAAACTCACAGTCACTACACTTTACAGCATAAAGTGTGAAGCACTTTGAGACATTTCAAAAATGTGATAAGGCACTACTATCAAATACAAGGATTGTTATTATTATTAAACATGTGTTTTCCTGTTCTGCTATCATAGTGCAGCCAAAAATAATGATCTGGGTTTACTTCTTCAATCCCATTTAAAATTTTATACATCTTTATACACCTCTCTCAATAATAATGTGGTGTATTTGAAGCATTATAATAATACTTGCATTTCATATAGCACCTTATCACGTTGTTGAGACATTTCAAAGAGCTTCACAGAATATATTGTAAAGTGGATTAACTGTATATTGTGGCAAAAATTAATTCTAATTATAATAAATAAAACACTGTATTTTAGGTGCATTTGAATGGCTTATTTTCAGCCATACTTGTGACTTTTTGTAGCTGATACTTGGGCTTTGTTTGAATGGAAAGTGTTGGGTGTTTAGTCAGTAGGAGGGTGACTGCTGGGAGGCGGCAGTAGAACCGGTCTGACACTTACTGAGGTGGAGCTGTTTTCAACTTTTATAATAAACAGATGAATAATGGAACAGTTGTGTGGGTTGCACATAATGGTGAGTTGGTTGAGGCAGAAGCTTTCGGGAAAAAAATCTGAAGGTCATATTTACGTGAGAAAACCTTTTGCTTGTAACATCTCTATCAAGACTTGAACTAGCAGCTGCTATAACCATTGGGGGGGATAATAATTGGTGCCATCTTCACTCAAGTTACTGTAGGGGGATGTTTCGATGACCTTTCTCTTCCCATCCACAACTGGAACAAAACCCTAATATCACACTTCTCTTCAAACCCCTGCACAACTCCCTCCCTCTCCGACTTCCTCACTCCCCAATTCACCAGCTGGCGCCTCCACTCAACTGGTGCCTCCTGCTCGTCCCTCACACCCTCCACCCCACCATCGGAGATCACGCTTTCAAAACACTACCATGCGTGGAGGGTGCTATATAGGTGCAAGTGGTTGTAGTTGTATAATCACAAGGAAAGGTGGTTCGAGGCCTGGTCACTGGGTTTAATGCTGTGATCGGGAGATCGATAAGGTCAGGTGGGTGTTCTGGAAGGATGGTCCCAGGGGCTTCTTCATTCAAACCAATCTTGTGATTTGATGGCTTCGCTGGCTAATCACATTGACAGTCACATCAGAGCATCACTGGTGCAAACTTGTTGGTGCGAAAAAGTTTAAATGTTAGTGAGAATTATCATCTCTACTTTTACAGGTAAGTCAACATCGGAAGTCTAGCAAACCTTCATCAGCCCAGCGAGATCAGTGTGTCCTAAAGCTATTAAAACCAGTGGATGGTACTGAAGGTGACCTGTGCTATTCTCAGTCCACAACATTAGAAATGTCCCCTCTCCTCCACGCACTCCCTGGTGTTTGAGAGAGATCCTGACCTGTGCAGCAATGTCAGTTTGTAAACACTCTACAATCTGCACAAAGAAGAGATGAGCTGCCAAAGTCGTGTCTTAACATGATCCATTGATCCACAAAATCTTTTCTACTGCATACCAACAATTAAGGTTTCACAGCACATCTGCTTCCTATGAAAGTTAATGTAGAAAGTGGTGTTTATTATCCCCGAATAGTCTGCAAACAAAAGGAAAACTAGTTTCAAAACACTAATGAAAAGCCTTGCGTTTGGTTTACAGACAGACAGACAATCAGCAATCGGGACTTAACTTTTGAGAATCCAAGCTCGAGGTAAAACGTTGATGGTCAGATTGGCAAGTTGTAAGTTGTTGGAGCTTGCATCAACCTATGGCTTTGGCTTGCTATTTGCTCTTGGACCTTTTATCCTCTTTGCAAGTGTCAATTTCGTGAGTAATTCTTTTTTCTCTCCTAAATGCCTCCGGCTCAATCCTGTTATTTTGTAACTTAGACCTTTTGGCGCCACAAGTGATTCTACCTGTCTGTCTTTCAAAGTCTCAACTTGTTTTTTTCTTTGTGATTATGGTTTCATTACGGGAAAAATACCTGATGAAAGCTTTGGACTCAAATTGTGATGATAATAATAATCCTTATCTTTGATATCACATCAGGAAGATGTCTCGAAGGCTTCACAAGAATTACTGTGAAGTGTAGTGACTCTGTAGTTTGTAGGCAAACACATGAGCCTAGCTCCCTGTAGTCAGTGCCGGCATAGAATATATTGATTTGCTGCATGTATGTGTTTTAAATATAATAAATACCGTCTATACTTCAAGAATTGCTTCTGAACAGGATGGAGAGATGCAAATCGAGCCATTGGACAAAAAAGGAAAGTGAGACGAAATACTTGTTGAGAACCATTCTTTATTTACCCTTTACTGCGACATGAAAATAGTCCTTTGCTTGCTTTTAGGAGATCCTGTGCATTGTAAACAGTGGGAATTAATAAAATATATGGTTTTCAAACTCCTTTTAACAAGCAATGCAATAGGTCAAGGGAGACATTCATGCTAGGTCTCCCTCCCACCATCTGTGGCACTGGCACCGTCGCTGCTGTCTCATATTATCATTATCAAACTCCAGATTTCCAAAAACCCAACTATATATTTGGAAACAACCCCCAGCTGCCTGCTGCTGAGAAATTAAACATTAATTGTAAATTAACTTCCCGATTTCCACATAATTTGTACAAATATTACACCCATCACCTCGTGAGTCAATGAAAGTCGAGGAAATATTGCACTCCAACAAAGTAAGAGAGGAAAATCGGAACTTTATCTAGTAGAAATGCATCAAGCATCTGACTGCAGAATAAATAGATGAACATTCCCTTGTATATTATAACTCTACCAATAGATTGTTTTTGGTGCTATAGCCCCAAGCAAGACACAACTACCCCAGAAGAATACAGGTTTGGAAAAGGAAAGTGCAATGAAATAAATCACTAGGATACCTCTTCAAAGTCAATTCTTCTATGTACAAATGTACAGACGACATCACAAGTCTCTGCTCCCGCACCATGGAGCCAGAGCTGCGCAAGCTCAAGTCTTTGGAGATGGTGCAAAACTCGGACGTTCTTGAGAGCCCAAAGTTCATGGTGATTTGGTCCTTTACAAACATCTTCTATTGTCAGTGAGGCTGTTCATTACTGAGCCCCACAACAAGGAGCTCTTTTCTGCTGCTGTGGAGGAATTCACTACTCCAGAAACATGAAAGGTCGGCATTATGGCAGGGCGGGTGGGAAGACAAAATTCAACTGATTTTCTGCTATGGTTTTGCAAATCTTCATGCTGTTGTCACTTAACAAGTACATAAAAGGTGTCTTAAAATAAGATCGTACCAATAGCAGATGGGAGTTGGGGGACTCAAAGCGAGAAACTGCAATAAAACAGTACCTGACTGTGTTTCTCAAAAGGTGGCCTTGTCTCAGTGATGGCTTCAATGTTTTACTCCAGTCACCAATGTGGGTTTTGATATGTCTGAGCCAAACAGCAATGAAAAACCTTTGCTTCCATCGATGTAAACACAGAGTTCAGTCTCTCTCTGTCTTTAACGCTCTGCTTTGCAGATCTAGGATGCGTTTGGTTTCTTCTGGTTTATCAAATCCAAATACAATTCTGATCTAAGAAATCGTGGATAAGAGTCCTTTTCCATCAAACCAAATATCCTCTTCTGAGCTAAATCAAAGCAGGAGCGTGACACTTTCTGAAGATTATCTTTGGTGTGTTCCCTTGTGTGTGAGTCTAAATTAACCTAAAAACAAACAAAAAGTAATATTATATATTTTGCCTTTGTAAAGTTTTATAATCAATAATCCTTGCATTTGATGTAGCACTTTATCACTTCAATAGGACATCTACAATTACTGTAGTATATGTGTATTTAGTAAGTGAATGCAGCAGCCAATTTGTGCAGTGATGTTCCACAAACAGCCAGGAAGTGAATGAGCAATTTAATCTGGTTGTTAGCCAGGACACCAATGAAAACTCCCTTCTCTTTCTGAATAGTGCTGTGCGATCTTTAACGTCCACCTGAGCAGGCACTGATGGGACTCTGGTTTAACGTCTTATCTGAAGGACGGGTAAAACACATAATAATAATACTTGCATTTGACATAGAGTCTTATCATGTCTTTGAGACCTCTCAAAGCGCTTCAGAGAATATACTGTGAAGTGTAGTGACTGTATTTTTTGGGCAAACACAGCAGCCAATCACGCAGCAATTGTTAATTTTAATTTAATTTCACGTTGAATGAAAGATGTATTTGGATATGAGCATTTCTAAGATTGGCTTACCTCTTTGCAGGACTGAATAGCAATGTATTCTGCGAATATTTTCTTGGCCTTTGAGATCATTTTGGATTGTGATTTGACCTTTTTGTACTCCTCACACGCTAACCAGAACTCCAGATTCTCGTCGCTGAATTCCGTCCGCAGAAAAGCTCTGAAAGCTGCTAAGCCGTCTGTGGAACAAAGAGGAGAAACATGAATACAATGCAGATTTTCACCAAAGCTCAAGACCTTAAACATCAAATGTGAATCTTGATCTATAAAACAGGATCTCATTATCATAAGGAGGGAAAATAGACTTAAGTCTGTAGATTACAGGTTTATTAATGCTCACTTACTGCTTAATTAACTGTTTTTCTCAGCTAAAGTCTCGAAAACACAATTCAACGCTACATTATTGGTAAAGAGGGAAGCTACAGCTGTGCAATAAGGAAGCATGGAAAGAGGAAAGGTGATCTGCTCATTAAGCATCCACAGATCATGCAAAACCACTGACTTCGCAGCTGGGGAAAACTACTTTATAGATATTCCCTCGACCCCCAAATAAGCACAAACTCCAGAAAGTATGCACATTGCAAATCAGCACTCTTTGGGGAAAGGATTCTTATAAACTTTACTCTTTGATTTGAAATATATTGACTCTATTTAAGCTCTCAGCGCCCAAGTGTCTTGTTATAATGTACCGTTATATAGAACAATAGGAAATGGAAATAGGCCCAACTAGTCCGTGCTGGATTTTTACACTCCACACTTGCCTCCAATTCCCCTCAATTACCTTTTCCCTGATGTTGGCAAACGTTTCTTTTTAAATTCTTTTTGCTGTTCCGTCCCCTCACGTTAGACTTGGTTCATATCTCAGCACCCAGCATGGAGGTCGCTATATAAATGCATATTGTTGTTGTCCCTATAAGTCTTCTCTCTAATATGTTCACTACAGAATCTCGAGCTTGGTCTCAGAGATGTCCTGGTTGTTCTTCTCTGGACCCCTGAACTATTTTAATGTCCTTTTGAAGGCAGGTTCACACACTTTGGCACTTCAAGCACTGATTTTGTATTTGTTAAGAGATTCGATATTGTTCCTTTTAAAAATTGAAGTTGAAGTAAAGCTGTTTTGATCGTTTTATATATGATGGATACAACAATGCGCAACCTAAATGTTGTGTCAAAGCAAATTCCTGAGATCCTCGCCTCAAGGTCAATGAGAGAGCAGAAAAGGCGGTAGTTCAAAAATAGCGAAGCTATTCTGCCGTTCTACACTAACACATCATTTTATTTATCAGCTGCCTTTTGTGATTAACAAGGCATCCATAGTTTTCTTTGCATTGCAAGAGCATTTGCACAAAATAATTAACCCAATTCTTTGTTCCAGTAGAGTAACTCAGCAAGTCAAGTGACTGCAGTACTGTGGAGGAACTTCTTTACATAGAGGACAGTGAGAATGGGGAACTGCCACAAACTGTGGTTGAATCATTACTGTGTTTAAGACGAAACTTGATGTGTACATGACAGAGAAGGGAATATGGGGGGGAAGCGGAGGCTCGGGGTGGGGGCGTGAGAGGGGAGGGGTAAGGGGAGGTTGGAGGAGGGGGATAGATTTGTTGAAGACTCATGTGAGATAGAAACACCAGCATGGACCAATTAAGCCAAATGGCTTGTTTCTTTGCTATAGATTCTGTGCAAGTTAAACTGCTGAAGAAGGTTAGTATCAGTTTAATTCTTTGCTTTTCTGTACCAAAAAGGCAAGTCAATTTCAAATCAATAAAGAAATTGCCCGGCTCCATTTTGGACCATTGAGCAGTGCATTAAAAAATGTCCATTTGCTATTATTGTGCTTCGCAAAATGTCCATACATTTACGTTTTAGAGAAGGGCACTCAAAGGGTTAACCGCCCACAGTGAATCCAACCTCTTTTTGTGGAAAATGTGAAGTCGCTAAAAAACACAAAGCGAGAGGTACTTACATTTGTGGGTTAGCAGCTTGTCTAAAGACTCTCCCCATTTCAAGGCTTCTTCAGGTGAAGGCCTGTAGGTGTAAACAGTGGGCCATTAAAGCCAGTTGGTCATTAAACTCCACAGCAAAGTCCTTCGTTAATTGACATGGAATCCTAAAGCCCCAATGGGTGGAATAATAAGGAGGATTTTTCAATGTGTGTTAGAGGATCCGTTGTAACGTGTAGTGACTGTATTTTGCAGGCAAACGGGGTAGCCACAGAGAAAGACAGTGAGCAGGTCAGGGTGCCCAGCAAACCCTCGGCGGCTACTTGCTCACGACTTTTACTCCCATTGGTTTACTTCAACCTTAGCTTATTTTTACTTCTATATTCCAAATGTTATGCATCATGGGGTCTGACTGCAGTACTGTCCAGCTGGCACCTGATAGACAGCTAATAGATAAATATATCTCTTGTGCAGCTTTGCAGGCTGGTGCTGGCGTTCCTAGGCGTGTTTCCAAAACCTCTAACAAGATGCTGTCATATACAGAACCGTATTTTCCAAGGTGGGCCACAGTGTTAGCTTTGTGTACTGTGTGTGTAGCTGTAGACATTCAGCATCCAGCCAATATGCTCAAACAAATGAGATCAAGATAGGCATCAGTAATCATGTCAGCACTGCTCAGTCGCTAGCACTCTCGCCTCTGAGTTAGAAGGTTGTGGGTTCAAACCCCACATCAGGACTTTGAGCCAACAGTCTAAGCTGATACTCCAGTCTGTGGGTGCGCTTCAGATAGAGAAGACTTTAAGATCTGCCTGTTCAGGTAGATATTATTCAAAAAGAGAAGGTAGTTTCTCTTTCTTGGTCAACAATCCCCCAGATATAATCGGTCAATCACTTCATGGTTGCTTGCGGGACACAAGTGCATGCAAATTAGCCTCCGTGTTTGCCTACAAATACACTTTACAATAAAATCCTGTGAAGCATTTTGAGACGTCTTGACAGTGTGAGGGTTTTGCTGTATCAAATACAGGGATTAAATATAAGACTTTGTATAGCTTACAGGAAATCCTTTATCATTAAACTGAATTAATTCAGCTTTGTTGTCTTAAAATAGCTGCAAGCAGAGTGACTAACAGGCTAGTAATTGTTACCTTTCCCTCTCACGTGTCATGTTCGCAATGATGCAGCCTCAGGTGCCCAGCAATACCAGCAAAGTCTAGTTATCAGGGAGAAGTTCCGTCTTTCAGACTTCACTTGGTCAATTTGGGCTTGAAAACGTTTTTTAAAAAAATCAAATAATTGCAGTTTATTGTTTGTTGGACAAAAGTTTTGTCTGTATTTCAGAATTCTAAAAAAGACATTCGCTTACCGGACAGTTTTAATGACTTTGTCCAACTTGGCAGCATTACTCCCCGGCCCAGAATCATTCCGTCGACGTAGAAATCCCAAGCGGTTTTTCATGTCTTTGGCTCTGTATGTTAAAGGAAAAAAAGCCGGTGAGTAATTTAAGCAACACTAAAGTCTATTTGAAAAGTCTCTGCTCAGCAGACGGTCAGAAAACCTTCAATTAACAGTGACTATTCTCTGCCTGTTCCTCTTCTTTCTTATAACAACATTTACACATCCTGCTGATAGGAAAGGTTTAAATATTTCACTCCCACACAATGGAATTCTCGCACCAGGCAGTCTCTGGAGATTGCTTAGCACAGAAACACTGGAAACCTTAGCTTGAAGCACATCGAGTTGCCCGTGACTCACTCGCTAAATAAAGCCACAGAGACTTCGTCCCCCACTTACTCCTTCATCGTGTGCCGTCGATGCAAGCCTCCCCCATGGCTTGTGTGATGAAGGAAACTCAAAAAAAATTCTGAATGAAATTCATGTGGCTGTGGCTTCGACAAATCTCTGAAAAATGGCATCTTTCAGGCTCAGCTTGTTGTGACTGGATCTTGACACAGCTCCTGTTTATTGAATCATGATTTCTTCACAAAAATGTCACAGAAGAACGCTGCCCAACTTCCTGAATCTTAGCAATAAGGTCGACTTTGTCTCTATAGCCTTGTGATCCCCTAAAAATCTGCTATTTTTAACCCTCCCAACTGCCAGCAGAGGAGCTGATAGCTGAACTGTGCAATTTGTAGCATCAATTCCAGTTCTGTACTCAAGTTGGGTTGGATTTGTGGTATTTGCAGGCAGGAAGTGGGAGTGACTGCCCACACTTTTGAAAGGAGCAAATGTTTGACTCGAGTTGTGTCAGCTCCCACAACAACTCTGGTGAATAAGGAGGTAAAGTAAAGATGACTGAAGGACTAACACAGGAAACATGCTGCCAGTGACTGGTCACCATAGGAACAAAACAAAGTTGTTTTTTCAGGGCAAAGAAACAGGTTGTAAATAGTGAGATGACAGACCGCAAGGGAATAACTAACAGAATTACAGTTAGGCAAGTTTCCACAAGTTGGCGAGTCAGTAATGGAAAGGCACATACTTAGGGAACTCCGGGAAGAATTTAAAGGGAAGATTAGAGAAAAAATTCTTTATCAGAGGATGGAATGTGAAATCCTCCGCCTCAATAGTGGTTTATGACAGTCCATACATTACTCATAAAGGGCTTGGGGTAGATGCTTGAAAAAGATTATAAAGTATAAGGAATGAGCAGGAAACTGGGATTCTGTGAAGCAAGAGCTTTGAGATGTCCTCCCAATATAAATGTAAGATTGTTCAATTAGAATGTTTCACGTAAAATAAAAACACCAGCGTAGATTGAATGGCCAATTTTGATGCTGTAACATTCTATCATTCTATGAAATATTTTGGAAAATTTAAACGGCAGTATGCTCATTGTAGAAATGTCTCTTATTTATTTCCTTATTATTATTATTTTTAGAGGTTTTTTTTAAAAAAATCACCAGTTGGAATAAAGGATTTTTACGTTCTGTTTTCAAGAACAATGTGTAAAATTGTCTCAAAGTCTGGTTCAAAACCGATTTTTGCCAAATTAATTTACATTGCAAATTGCAACTGTGCCCACTTTCCAACTGAACTCCATGCAGATTTCTCTTTGCTGTAGCTGGAAAGTCTTAGTCCCTCTGAAATGGATGATGCAGCCTGACCACTAGTCTTGTGAGTTTTCATTTGTGCTGCTGACAGGGTGTCTGTCACTCCACACAGCGGCTGATATTAAACATGCCACATAAAGGAAAGTGATGGGTGTGTTCGTTGACAGTGCAATGTAAAAGTGATTCTCACAGTTAGCAGTTCAACGTTTATCTTGCCTGCGTTTTTTTCCCCCTCAATTTCTTTTTGACGTTTAAAGTTTGAATTAGAGAAGGTTTTATGAATAGCATTTCTTGGGAATCAGACATCTGCGAAGCTCCTAATGTATGTAGTTAGTTTAGCCTCAGTAAAATCTTGGGTACATCCCTCCCCTGAGAGTGCTTCCAATCCACATATTCAAAGCTTAGAAAGGTCTTAACCAAATGCCCTAACTCTGATTGTAACTAAGATTGTCATTTTAGGACAATTTTGAGAATTCATTACATCTACCACTTGTTTTTGTTAGACAAGAACACTAGTTCTCTCGTCTTGTAGCACAGCAAGTGATACAACTGACATTTCAACTGTAGGTTTGACAAATTGCCTGCTACCTCTCTTGCGGTCATTCTCAGTAACTATATCGAGTGAGATAGGGTTACGTTCCTAGAAAAAGATTTGTTGATCCGTGGAAAGGAGCTGGCACAAAATGGAACACCTTGGGACGACCTTCTGACGTGAAAGGTGCTATATTATATAAATGCAATTTGTTGTTGTAGAACATATAAATGTAGATATTTGTGCAGAGAGTAAATAAGAACCAAAAGCAATGATGGCAAATGTATTGTAAGTAATTTCTGCTAAGCATTCACTTAAATGGAATGACAGTGTAATTAATAAAAAACATTAACACAATACGCTCCAGGATGTGCATTACGCAGCATTACTTAAACACAATCCTCCAACTGTTCCACTGTGTTTAAGTATATTAAGTATATTCCCTATTAAAACCAATAGCTTGTTATCCGTCTTTCTGCAGGTGAAAACCTAGGTGCAAAGTATATTAAAAAGAAGTTCTAGGGCAGTTTAATCTGCGTTGTTGTAATGTTAACAAATGCAAATTTCTGTTGTAACAAATGTGTTATTTGTTCCCTCCCACCCCCACCCCGTTACAAGGATTTGCTGGATGTAAATTCTTAAGCAATCATACAATACCTATAGACTTCCAACAAATATATCATCTTTGGGCCAATGAAATATGAATCCTCTACATTTAAGAATTGCACCATTACAAATCACATTACCCCCATGCATTTGTACCATCAGAAATACTTTAAATGCATCAACATACTAATAGAAGACAAACATCTGTTAGGAAAGGATGACAACTGCCACATATAAGTAGAAAATTAGAAAATAACTTTTTGCAAACATTCACCGACTTCCTACCTCTCTAGATATTTTTCCGAAAAGTCAACCATTGTGTGAAGCATTTGGTTAAGTCTATCTGTAAGTATTGCACATCTGCAGTGTATTGAGACGGATCTTTATAGTGACAGCTCTCCTAGGAAGGCAGATTAAATAGATGTGTGCGTTGGCTGAAGGCCAACTCAATGCCCAATCAGACTTCAGTATCTGATACGAAGAACCCAGAGGAAAAACTGCAGCTATTTTCACCATTAAAAGTGTGTGACATAAAAGAGTTATCATCATGAACCTCCACTTCATTTAAACTCGGGGCTTTGCTTCAAGATTTTATTATTAATTTTTTTTCTTTAAATTGATGAGAATATGAGCAAAATGTGACTTTTTTTGTGCTGATCTCATTCTGAATGTCTACTCAAAGACTTTGTTGCTGTTCTCTTGGTTCCATCTAGTGGCGGCTACAGGTACTGCAGCACACAGGAATTTCACAGAAAGCTGCAGAATCCAATGCAAAACTATTACAGTCAATTCTAGACTTTTAAGAGTGCATCAATAAGTTTGTCTGCCTGAGAACGTTACCACTTAGGTTCGTGGTATAGAAAATGATAACTTTTAGGTTTTGTTCCGGCCACTTTTCAATTTGATAATAAATAAATACTAATAGAGTCCTGTGGCTCAGTGGTTAGAGCGCTCGCCTCGCAAGTGAGAGACCTGGGTTGTATTCCCGGCAGCGTGAAACGTGGGGCAAGTTTCCTTACTCCATACGCCTCTGTTTATATTCTGTGAAGTGCTTTGAGATGTCTCGACGACGTGATAAGGCGCTGTGTCAAATCCAAGAATTATTCTAAATATAAATTTTGGTTTGTTTAGGGGTTGAAAAAGCTACACTGCAAAAAAAATTGAAATGGCAAAGACGTAACAGAAAAGAGCTTGGGGTGCGTAACCTGATCCCTGGTAACTGCCAACATACAAAATGTGTCTGCCTGACTCTGGCATTTTTCAGATGCTCATTCTGGGAAAAGTTAATTAAGGTTTCAATTCATCTCAATTAAATCAAAGCATATCTTTTCCTTCTGCCTCAGTTGTGCATTTTTTTTAAAAAAGGACAGTCATCCTTCCAGAAAAGATTTTTATTTTCTGTGTTTGTGCTGTATCGAGTGACTTGCACAGATCTGTCAGGGCCCCTTCCTCCTATTATACTGACTAGAAACAGCTGTGGGCTTTGCCTCCTGCCTGGACTCCACGCTAGTTAATATGCCAGGCCTCAAAGCTCAGATTTCTTGCCTCTCAGCCCTGCTCTGAACCTTCCTTCTAATTGAGCTCATGTTCAGTCAGTCTTTTAACAGGAATACGAGTGTATGCACATAAAACACATACATACACATATATACTTCGGGCTTCAAGACAAAGGTTTCTTTGGGAAAAACCTTGGGCAAGTTTCCTTACTCCACACACCTAATAATAATCCCTCCAAAAACAAAAACAATAATAAATTGGTCATGTTCAATCCACGACTGTTTGTGGGACGCTGCTGTGCGCAATTGGCTGCCGTGTTTCGCCCACAAATATACAGTCAATTCACTTTACAGCATATTCTGTGAAGCGCTTTGAGACGTCTCAAAGACGTGATAAGGTGCTATATCAAATGCAAGGATTATTATTATTAAAGGTTTCATGACTTGATGCTCTTGCGCTGTGTGACACACATTTTAAAGTCAAATGGACATGTGGTACTGAACATTATCCTTGTCCATGAAAAATATATTTCTCCTATTTAAAAACAATGACATGCCAGTTGCCTTAAACCCCTACAGAATAGAGCCAGGGTTAAACATTTTGCAACTTTCAGTTGATCCAGAGCATTTGGTTAAACCAAAGACAAAAAATAATACGTAACCCGCTGTTAAAATTGTCCTCTGATTTCTTCACCAGGAATTTTAAAACTAATACCAAAAACGCAAAGTTCTCAAACAAACAAACAAATGAGATAATGCAGAATGCAAATGTGGGCACTCAGTCAGGGCAGGGGAGAGAAGTGAAAACAAACTTACATATTCTTGCTCTTTTTCTTGAAGCCATCGTCAGTTTGGTCATAGCCACATTCAGCGTCTGCCCCAGATAGCTGCTGGGGCAAAAGTAAAAAAACCGTCTGCATCATGGAATCAGATTACAAATCTTTCTCTCTCGCTCAATACATTCCAGTTTCACTGTTGTTTATTTTTCATCTTGGTTTTTGATCATATAAATCTCTACAATGTTAATTGGCAACATTGGAGTCTGGACAGTAATACAGCAGAGATTGTGTAGAGACCTCAGCAAACAGGCAAACTTTAGTACTTGTCCACAGATTCTCGATTTCACCCAAGTTGAGAAATATGATGCCTCTCAGGGGGTAACTGCTCGTCAAGTGATCCTTTGCGAGGACTCAGATTATTTGGTTTTGCCAATCAGCCTGTGCTCTTTTTCCACCTCTATGTTCACCGTTGCCACTCTCCCAGTCCTACTTAACGTTGAACACTGTAACTAACAGTCAGGGATCAGGTTACGCTCCCCAAGCACCGGCATCAACTTGCTGCACACAGTGGGCGGACGGCCTCAATACTGCCCAATAGCTTCACGTTTAGGAATCCACGGCTGTAGCTTTACGCCGTCTACTCCGTTTGTGTCTGAATGGCAGGGAAATTATTTTTAGGAATGATAAATCTAAGTCAGTTGTTGGAGCATTTTGCAAAAAAAACCTTATTAATTATCTACATTTATTATAATAATCCTTGCATTTGATACAGCATCTCTCACATCGGGAAGATGTCTCAAAGTGTTTCACAAGATTTTATAGCAACATGCGTCTATTCTGTGGTGAGTGTGGCAGCCAATTTGTGTACAGAAATATTCCCACAAACAGCCAGAAAGTGATTGAACAATTTTACTAGGGATTAAATTAACCAAATGATTTTAACAATTAAAGTGCACTTAGATTTGGTGAAAAAGAATCGGTCGCTCAGAATAAAAGCTGGTCCGGTCCCCTGGACTGCATGAATTGACCTTAGTTGGAAAAGAGCCCGATTTCCATTGTCATTTCCCATTCTCGTCATTTTCCATTCTCGGGAAAGCAATTAAATACTGCAGGAAGTTCAGACTCAGTAAAACAAAGTGGACAATTTTATAGAATCGAACGTTAAAACATCCCAAAGTGCTTCAGAATAAGTGCAGGCACGGGGAGAATTTCCACCTGGGTCCAGTTTTACCTTTTTTCAGAGCATCTAGAATTTGCCAAATTCTTAAATACAATCTGAATTTTGAAGCCATTTACCCACTTGTACTTTTAACAACAACAACAACAACTTGTATTTATTCCACGCCCTCACGTGGCTTAGAGTCCCAGAGCTATGACAGTTATTAAAAGTTCCTCTTCTGGGAAGTTAGATGTACTTTAAATCATTGAAGCATCTACTTAAGCAGGCGAGTAAGGTGATCATGGACAGAACAATCTGTACTCTGAAATGTAAGTACATTGTGAGGGGAGAGGAAAGAATCATTCCCCATTTATATCCTTAAGTTCCTGCCCTATTCATTGCCTTTATCTGCTATTTCTTACGATTTTAACCATGGCTTTGGAGGCGCTACACATACATTAATAATAATATAATAATCCTTGCATTTGATATAGTGCATTATCACAACGTAGAGACGTCTTAAAGCGCTTCACAGAATATACCGTAAAGTGAATTGACTGTATATTTTGTGGGCGAAATGCAGCAGCCAATTGTGCACAGCAGCGTCCCACCAACAGTCATGGATTGAGTGACCAAGTTATTGTTAGCTTTTTTTGAAGGAATTATTACTCCCAGAAAGGGATCCACCAATCGACTAACAACCGGGTTTCTACTTATTTCTGGTAAACAGAGACGTGTGGAGTAAGGAAACTTGCCTAAGGTTTGGCCCTGCCCGGGAATCAAACCCAGGTCCTCTCGCTTGTGAAGTGAATGCTCTAACTTCTACATTACAGGATTCTTGGTATTAATATTAATAGGGATAGAGCATTCTTCTACAGGAGAGGTACAGGTCAATTCAGGGATGGTAGATGAGTGAAGCACAAAGATCCTGATAATAGGAACTGTGTGTTCTAATACGTGGTGAAATAACTCACCTCACTGTTGGGGACAAGATTTCAATAGGAAAGAGAGCGCTGTATTTCATCCACCAAACCATTTGTACCTGATAATCCTGCATTGTTACAGCTCAAACTGATGGTTTACTGAACCAGAAATAAATAATGCAATTCCAATTTATCCTTCAAAGACAAATTGATTCTCACAATGAGTTTTTGACTCATAGTCAAGTGGTTGTTTTGTGAATGTGTTTGTTCAGTTGTCTGCAGTAGCAGGTTGTGTGGTAGACACTGCGCAGAATGTTGTTAACAGTTTACCCAGTGATGTCCAGGACAGACACAGAGGTCAGAGTGAGAAAAGGAAACCCTGAATGTTTGCATTGCTATAAACACCAATATGAAACAGAAATTCAGTGAAATGAAAAACTGAAGCGATTGCTCCAATAGACACAACAAAACCAATTTACTAGGTCAGTTCAGTCTAACAAATTTCAATGTAATCTGATCCAAACTACCGAGTCAGGTGGTTAATACATTCATTTGTTTGGTTGCTTTCTCCCATCTCCTGAGATTCGCAGACCTTTCCTCCTTCACCCAGATCTGTCCTCTAACAGCAACTTATATTTCTACAGAGCGCTTCAGATAAAATAAGGTCTTGTAGCTTTAGAGTGGCAGGGAGGGAGGGATAGAAAGAGATAGGTGACCATCAACGTGGTTGAAGAGATGGGTTTTAAAGCAGGACATGAAGAACAGATAAGGAGGGGGTTGGGTGGGGGGCGGGGGTGGGACACACAGTGAGATAGAGGGAGGGAGTTCCAGAAGTTGAAGGATGGAATCAGAAAGATCGGTCACGAACGTACAGTATATACATCACTAACTGTTCCTTCTGTCATAGGGAAGGCAGACTTGTGATACTTTGACTTGTGCCTGATTGACAAGGTAATGAACTAGGATACTTGCATAACACCAAACAATCGCCTTTTTTAAAAAAATCTGTAATAAATTGATGAACATGATGGCATTTGTTTTTGCAAATCAGATTTCATAGAATCATAGAATTATACAGCACAGAAGGAGGCCATTCGGCCTATTGTGTCTGTGTTGGCTCTTTGAAAAGAGCTTCCAATGCAACCTCACTCCCCATAGCCCTGCAAACATTTCCTCCCCAAGTAATTATCTACTTCTCTCTTAAAAGCTGTTATCGAATCAGCTTCCACCAACCTTCCAGGCAATGCATTCCAGATCCCAACAACTCGCTGTGTGAAAAATATTCTTAAAAAACAGTTCTGAAGGCACAAATAATGCAATCAATCAAAATGGGAATCCACTTAAAGCCATTAGCTAAGTGCTTTAATGAGGCCCGAGTCGTATCCTAAGCCATTTGTTGTCAATCACACTAACTCTGCATGAGGAAGCTTCGCAATGTGGCAGGATGACAGGAAGTGCCATCAGACAAGGATATTACTCTGTTTGCTGATGTTTGGCAGGTTGCCGCTGAATGAGCAAACGTAATAACACAGCCTCATGGGCTCATACTGACTGCATCCATCAAACCTCCAGTGTCTGAGCAACACAAGAACACTGACCAAAACTATATTGAGTTTCTGCTCCCACCCCCAGCTTGGGTGAGCGTCCAACACGCAGTGTCAATCGCTTGGAGACATCCTCCCATTGTGAGAGATGCTGTACAAATCTAAATTGCATTGTATTACCTAGAACCTTCAAGGAGATTTGACAGATTTTAAACCAACTTTCCCAAAGAAACAAGGCAAGTGGACTTAATGTTAATTTGCTGGGTACGAGCTAAAGTCTTTTTCTTGGCTGTTTTGACATCAGCTGCATGTCTGTCGCTGGGGCTGTGTGAAACAAGTGATGTTATAGATTTATTATTCTTTCAAATATGATGCATCAGTTTCAGGTCAATATTGAGTTATGGGGCTACTCTAAATCATGGTTTGGATTATGTGTATACCGTGTCCCGCTGATGTTAATGTTTAACTTTACAATTTGCAGTGCACCATAATAAGAGTTTCGTTATAGCAACATAAATGCTCTGTTAATATAACAAACCCAATTGGCCATTTCTCTTTAATAAAGTACTTGAAATGGAAACAGATGTCACAGCAAATGCAATCAACAGTCTCATCTTCCCCTCATCTCCAAGCATTGTTTTGTCAGTCTCAGTACATTACAATCACAGGATTTAATGTCTCCCAACAATTCAGTAGATTACCTCATTTTCGGTATTTAGAGATGAACTGGCAAACATCTTTGCTGGGTGTCAAACATAATGAACACTGACATGTTCATTAGTTAATGGGCCAAATGGGTTAGTTTGGTCAAAGTAGAATCAAAATGGGCTTTTACCACATATTAATCCCTCAGCCATTCAGATTCTTCACTCCTAAAGCAGTGACATGCACTTATACACTGCCTTTTCTTTCAGATTAATGTCTCAAAGTGTTTCACAGAGATGATAGGGAGAGAGGAAGGAGAATTTAAAGGCTTTGTCCAAATACATGATCAAAGAGAGAGTGTTTTGAAGGCAGGCTGAGAGGGAGAAGGCAAAGGGATCTTGTTCATTCAGTTCTTGGCTGTTTGTGGGACACTTCTTGCATAAATTGATCGCTTGCCTACGAAAAACAGTCACTACACTTTACAATAAATGTCAAAGAGCTTTGAGATGCCACGATGTCTTAATAAGGCGCTATATCAAAAGCAAGTATTATTATTATTTGGAGAGTGTTCCAAACAGCAGAGGCATAGCTACTGAATGTTTTGACTGATGGTGGAATAGAGGGAGGGAGAAAGGAGTAATAGATTAATGTAAGAGGAGGAGGACGCAGGCAAGATAGTATTGATCCTGCAAGTCAGTCGAGCAAGGTGAGGGCTGCAGTAAATCGGTGAGAAATTGCAAACAGATAAGTCTAGTATAAGACAAAATAAATCAATAATTTGATAGTAAAATATATAGAAACAAGAAACACAACTGATGTAAAAAGGGACAAAAGAAACGT